TATTCTGATACTGCTTTCACAGTCTTTCATGTCATTATGAGTGACAATTTGAAACTCATGGCTGTCGTGATTGTTCCAAATCATAACTGACCCTCCAAAGGTTTCCAAGGCTATAAAGTGCACGGGAGGAGATTGTCTTTCTCCTGACAACCCTGTGTCTCCTTTAGGTTATCAGTGTAACTATCACCTGAGCCTCTCGTCCTGTGGAAGACAGTGAGGTAGAGAAGACACAGCCATCACGTCGATTCTGAATCAGCAACCACATACAACAGCACAGAACATTTTGGAGAGTTTTCTTAGGCTATAATCTTTATGGAAACAGACTGCCACATAGCTCTTCCCAGGAGTAGCTTGTGGTTTCGAACCCTAGACATTACAGTTACCAGCTGAGGGTTTAACCAGTATGCCACCGAAGCTCTTTAGCCATAAGAATGTTGAGGCTATTCTGTGTCCATCATTCTTTGGCTTTCCCCCATGCCCCCTGTCTTCTTAGCAATATGAGTCCCTCAATAGCTGAAATCACTTGGATGTCACTCTATTAAACTTGCCTTATACTTGGACCCCACTTTCTTAAAGGAGCCCAGGTGGCTGATAACTGAAAAGGTGGGTAGTTCAAACTCACCACGCTGCACTGGAGGGAAAAGCTGTAGCAATCTGCTTCCTCAAAGAGTATAGGTTTGAGAAGTTAGTAGAAAATTGCCGTCTGGTTCTATGAAGTCATTGTCAGGTTCAACTTGATAGCATGGAATCACCAATATGCTTTTCTGATAATTCCTACTATGTAGAAAAAGTACTGCTTCAGGTTTTTAAAAAAAATGGGCACATTCAATTCACACACGCGCATGTGCGCGCGCACACACACACACACACACACACACTTGCTCTCTCTCTCTGTTATACTTTGGCAACAACTCCCACAACCAAAATAAATTCTGAATTCCAATGTTACGTATCTGAAAAATTGTAAGCTTTTAGTCATTTCTTATCCACTTCAATTCAAGAATATACAATAAAAATCAACCTCCCAGAGTATTCCTTCACCGTTTCGTTTATGAACTCTCCCTTCTTTTCCCATCAGCCTCCACCAGCACCTCCCTCCCTCCTTTCTGAGCACCTACAGCACTTACCGGCTTTCTCATAAATCAAGGTCTTGTGTAATCCACTCAATACTTCCTAGCGCAAGCCCTGTTTCCATTTTGCAGCTCCATGGCTAACTGACCCCTAATGGAACACTAACTTTTGCAAATCATTTTATATTTTACCTTATCATTGTGCTTTTTCCCTTTAGAGCTTATTTCTAGTAGTTTTTATTCATCATTATTGGCGAATAATAGGAAAAATAATACATAATAAACTAGTAGTATTTTATTATTTTAAAAGGTAGTTAACATATTCTTTTCCTTAATGCTCATATTGGAAGCAGGAGTGTCATCTACTTTGTAAACAACATGCCTCCAGAAACTCTATGAACTCTGATAAATGCTGATAGTTGTAGAGGGGCTTCAGGCCTTTGGTTCATAGGGTTGCGATAAGTCGTGTTTGACTTGAAAGCAATCAACAACAACAACAACAGCAACAATGCTCATATTATACTACACATATCACCATTTAATTAAAAATTAAGTTTGAGTGACGTGTCCTTACTTTCTCATCATTAAAAAATATAATAAATGGCCAAAGATTCAGAAACTCAAAACCTGACAGAAAACAAATCAGGTGACTTGGAATTTAGGGGAAATATGCAAATGGACAAAATATTTTCAAATTCCACTAAATCATTACACTATTGTTTATAATACACTGGTTAGTATGATTTTCTTTAACCTCAGGATTTTTCAAAGTCATATTTTTATTTAAAGATAAATTAAGAGGAAATCAGGAAGAATCCGCCTACAATAAAAGTGTCCTACACCATCTGGCTATCAAATAAAACCCCAACATTCTTAATCATGGGGACAGAGGTACATATTCAGGGCTTTGGATTCCCTGAAGATCTTTATTAAGAACACTGAAGGGCAAGTTTTGTTAAGGATTTGAAGTGGAGAAGAGAGATGAGGAAAGAAAAAGAACCCCAAACAAACCACCCTCATAATTCCTGCCATTAAATTGATTCCAACTGCTAACAACAATCCACCTGGTTTCTGAAGCTGTAATCAATCTCAAAGAGATTGTCCATCCTACACTCTCCGGACTATGTACAAGATACGGGGACGTTTTTCTCAAGAACATTCTATTATACTTAAGCTACCTGAAGATTTCACCATATCCAAGTTAGTAAAGATTTCAGAAAAAATAAAGAAAGAAAAGCAACTGAAATCCTTTTAGTGTGTGAGGACTCATAACAAAAATGATAGGGCCCTGCTTTTAATGCCACTATACATTCATTTTTGGAAGCCAACATTTTTCGGCTCTTACGTATATATTTATAAAGCACTGGTTTTAAAACCGAAACCATTTACACGAAGAACACAGAGGCTATCCAACAGTGACTTCATAAACAGCTGTCTTCTTTGACAAGCAAACACATCTGTCTCACTTTGGCTACTTAAAAAACAGGGCTGAAGTCTACCATGGAGATTTTAGAATACAAGTTAATTCTTTAAAAAGCCTTGCTTTGTTTATTACCAGATAAGAAATATTGCATTTCTGGTAGTTAATCTCCTCATAGAGGGACCCTTATCCCCTCATTCCAAACTATTGTAAAAGCTAAAGAAAATGCTTTATGTCCTATCATTCACAGTTAATAAAAAGCAATCATTTTCAAGGAGTAATCTGGTATTTTATAGTACATGAAGATATATATGTATACATTTGCAATATTTGAATGAACACTAAAATATTTAATCAGATATGTAACTTCAGAACTATACACATTTAAAAGAGAAAAAGAATAACATAAAAAATCTTATATGAAAGCTACAAGATTAAAGACAAAAAGAAAGTAATACAGGCTAAGTTTTTTCTTCATTTTTCAATCTTTAAAAAGGCTCTATGTCTTATGTTTCTTTATAAAGTATATATCCTTATACCTCATAAACATCTCTCTTTACCCTTCTGGAAGTCCTTAGTGAAAAAAAGCAAAAACAAAACAAAACAAAAACCCAAAAAACCCAGAAAAGAAAAAAGATATAAAAAAAAATCACAATTGCACAAAGGTATTTACATATCTAGAGGACTCATTTAAATATCTGACATTTACTGAAAATAGTTATTGAACAAATATTGGCAGTTCAAATCCACCCACAGTTCTGCCCCATGGGAGAAGGATGTGAAGTTGGTTTCTGTAACATTTACAGAGATATCTTAAGGGGCAGGTCTATTCTGTCCTGTGGGTCACTGCATCAGCAACCATCTGAAAGTGGCAAGAATGGTTTCCCTTTCCTTATTTTTGTTGTTGTCTTAAAGCTCTTCACAAAAGATAGTATTATTTGCCTTTCACATTAAAAAAAAGTCAACTAGCATTTCCAAAATAAAATCTGGGGTTGGTGTAGGGGTGAAAACAGAATTACTCAAGTAGCCTGGCAAAAAGAAGGGGGGAAGGAGTCAAAAGCTTATGTTATTTATTCGTGGAAAGGCTATATCGGGGGCTCCAATTATAAGAGGGACTAATCAGTTTCCGAATCTGCCAATTATAATGGGTATTACTATAAAAAAGATTATAACAAAGGCGTGGGCTGTTACGATTACATTATAAATTTGGTCATCACCTACTAGAGCTCCTGGTTGGCTTAGTTCAGCTCGAATAAGGATACTTAGGGCAGTTCCTACTATCCCCGCTCATGTTCCGAAAATTAGGTATAATGTACCAATATCCTTTTGGTTAGTTGAGAAAAGTCAGCGGTTAATGAACATAGGTAAAATGGCTGAGTAAAGCATTAGACTGTAAATCTAAAGACGAGACA